GTCGTCGTGCTTCGTCGGATTAGACAATGACCTCACGGTTGACCAAAGCTTGCTCACACCAGAGGTGAAGTTACAAGTCTTCAGATGCTCCTCCCACTTCTTCCGCTTATGTACGTTTACAAGTTGCCGAATCTCCGCGTTGAGATCCCTGATACGGGGATCTCCGGGATCGGCCTGACGAAGGCTATCACGCTCATTTGCTAAAACAGCCGCTTCGGCAGGGAAGTTTGGACGTGGGTCCGATATGCACCCTGCCGGTATGAAGCGGGCTGCAGCAGCAGTGATAGCCCTGCGGAACTTACGTTCACCGAGGTGGACGTCGGTTGGTGTGGGGAGCGCTGCGAAGGTATTTTCAGTAAACTCCGCGTAACCTTTCCAATCAGCTTTGGAAAAGTTGATATAGGTCCGGTGTTTGGCGGAGGCAAAGTCGGTTGGTTTATCAATCGAGATGACTATGGGTAGATGGTCTGATGCTAGAGTCAGCATAGGTCGCCACGTTATGCTGTTTATCAGACCAGCGCTGACTATTGTGATGTCTGGCGAGCTACTGCAGTTACCCATAATCCTGGTGGGTGCGTCGTCGTTCATTGTGCAGAATGTCGAATCGTCTATCTGCTCAGCCAAGTCTGTTCCCCTACGATCGTTTGACAGGCTTGAGTGCCAAAGATCGTGGTGCGCATTGAAGTCACCTACTACCATACGGTTTTCACCTCTGAGGAGCGCACCTATATCAGGGTGATATCCTGCCGGGCAGCAGGTGACAGGGGGTATGTATATATTAAATATTTCGAGCTCGACACCGCCTGACCGGATAGCAATGCCCTGACATTCTAGGGTGGTATCCCTGCGGTCGATGTCTGCTTCGATAAGACGATACTGCACGGTGTGGTGCGTGATGAACGCTAAGCCACCACCATTATCTCGCTCGCGATCTCGACGGTGCACGTTGTACCCGGCACAATTCAACAAAGTTGAATTGCTGTGCAACTTCGTCTCTTGGACCGCAGCTATTAATATACCATGCCGACACATAAAGGCGGTTATCTCCTCAATCTTGCTCTGTAGCCCGTTACAGTTGAATTGTAGGAGCTTCATGTGGTTCGGGAGACGTGTTGTGATGCGGGGTGTGAGTGAGGTGTATGTTCTTGCCGCCGTTGGCTGTGTGCGCTGCTGGGGTGATTGCCTCCCTGTGGTGGTAGTGGGGGGCGTCGCAATTGACGTCAGCGACCGAGCAGCGCAGCACGGGCCCTCGAAGTTCCCCGTCCAATCTCGCGTGGTGCGCAGACCTGAACATGCCCTAAAGTGGCACCAGCCAAGGCAGGTGTTGCACTTGACTGATGTCACATTACGGAATATTCTGGTCTGACATACCGTGCAGATTGTAGGGGGAACCAAGAGTTGTTGGCGGCGGCGTGTGGGTGGTGGTGCGGTTGTGTGTGTTATGTGGTCTGTGGTGGCTGTGGTACGGTCTGTGGTGTTATTATGTTGTTGTGTGGTGGCGACTGTGTGTGGTTGCTGTGTGAGTGTGTGGGGCTGCACGGGCGGACTATGAGTTGCCGTGGAGGCTGCTCTATTTGAGCAACAGGGGGCCACGTACGACGTGGTCCACTGTCTATGTGTCCGTAGTCCCGAGCAGACCCTGAGGTGACTCCACCCCTCGCAGGCATTACACTTGACTGAGGTGGAGTTGTGGTGTAAACGTCTCCGACATACACAGCAGGTGTATATTTCTGGCCCAGGGTTTGACTCGATGCCAGCCCTGAGTAGGAGAATGCGTAGTGAATGTTGCCCTATGGACGGACAACTTCTGAGATACTTCGCCGACCTAAACGGGGTTAGATCGCCGAAACAACAGCCCTTGGTCGGGTGAAACCCGAGTCATTCCGGTACGTAGAACCGGCTGTCGTGGGAATGAATTTTCTTTTGTCTCTCATCCTTCTTGTATATTTAGCAGTTTGACAGCTAAACGCCACCATTTAATGTGCATATGCAACCAAAGGCAAACGCGTGGTTTTGAAGATGTTTTTATTTAATAAATTGTGATTGATAGATTAAAATTAAAGTAATAAAGAAAGTTGTAACAAGTCGAATAAAGTTTAAAGTGAAGGGGAATATAAAAATGCATTAGTGAAGTGGCTGCTTTAAGGAAAATAGGAGTGATAAATGTGAGCTATTTTCCGAATTTTACAAAAAAGGGCATATTTCAAACCCAATTTGTAAATAAATTAGTGACCAAAAATTACAATAGTGGATGTTAAAGTAATGGGTAGACCCTTGGCTACAAGTGTGTGCAATTTTGGATCGGGTCACCCCTTTGGACGCAATACCCCGAAATAGGTGGGCCACTTACTAAACCGTACCCGATACCTCCCTCAACATCCTAAGTTTCAATTGTTAATTCCACCTGGTTTTCTTAAAACACAAGGTGCGGCTGACTACTAAACCCCACCCCGCGTCGTTTGATGACCCTCCCGACTTTTCCGAAGCTTTTTTAGGGGTTGTTACCGTAGACTAGAGAATTACCGAAATTGTTTGACTTTTGCAATGTAGGTGCCACACCCAAATTAACACAACTAATAGTTACTAATGTATGTTATAATAGTTCACTAGCTTACATGCGTATCACATGTGATTATATACAGACAATACAAAGCTTTACCTTAAAATCAAGGGATTTGCCTTTAATATTTTTAAATTGATTACACCTAAATCAAAAATATTCCGCGACGAACCCCGCTTCGATTCCACGCACATTTAGCAACAAAACGATTCTAATCAATGGGCCCTGTCACACGGTCAGGATTTATTGACGTGATCCAAGTATCGCAATATTTATTGACGGTGTAGCATGCAGTATTGATGGATCGTGATCCATATCGCAAAATTTCTAAATATTTTAAAATCTGGATCGCGGATCGCAATATTTTCAATAAATATTGAACGTGTAGCACTTTCAATACGCGATCCATACATTTCATCAGTACTTCTTGTACCAAGGCGAATCTAAACAAGGTTGTGTTATCGGATCAGCTGCTTTCACGGCGAATTTGTGCTTTTGTCAAAATAATGTGTGTGTTGTAATTTGGCTTTGTACTAATATATAATTAATAAAGTATAATTTGATATTGTAATTTTTGTCTTTGTTCTGTTAACACCACCTTGTATAAATTCGCCTTGTCTTGTACTCTCATAATGCGAACATCGAAAACGTATTCCCTATGCCTTCGTTTTCGTTGCTTAAAACCTTACAAAACAAGTTGAAAAAATTTTAATTAACATTGAAAATTTTAAAATAATTGTGGATTGCATTATCTGTAAATTATTCGTACAAGATAAAAATATTTTCTTGTATCATAAAGGGCTCTGTCACACGGTCAGTAATGATCACGATGTTTGGATTGCGATCCATATTATGATTTGATGGATCGCGGACGAATGCAACATGTTCAATATATATCGCGTCAGTATTTGCATAATTTTTGTGCTGAACGCTTATTATGACGCAAGAAAATATTTTTATTTTGTACGTATGATTTACACATAATGCATTCCACAATTATTTTAAAATTTCCAATCTTAGTTAAAATTTGTTCAATTTGATTTGAAAGATTTTAAGCCCCGAGGGCGAAGGCAGAGCCGATGTTCACATTATGAGAGTAAAATATGTACTGACGAAATGTACGGATCGCGTTTTGAAAGTGCTACACGTTCAATATTTATGGACGGTATCGCGATCCGCGATCCAGATTTCAAAATTTTTAGAAATTTCGCGATATGGATCACGAACCATCAATACTGCATGCTACACCGTCAATAAATATCGCGATACTTGGATCACGTTAATAAACTGACCGTGTGACAGTGCCCAATAATACCTTGGTTATAATACTCTTGGGAATCGTAACAAATCGCTGCGAATTCGTAAGGATCTATTGATTTTAGATGCTTCCGTTTTACGTTATGTTCAGTGCATTACAATCGCTCGAATTCATTGTCCATACAATAGATTATTAAAGGCGTGTGTGAAGCGGTAACAAAGTTCTATGGGGAAAGCTGTTGAATAATATTTTTACTATGGAGAGACAGTTTTGCCAATCTGCTGTGTGAAATGAAATCTTTTTTGGCAGCAGTAAATTTTTGATAACCGCAGATTTATGCGGAATAAAATATTACAAATTGAAGTGAAATTAATATTCTAAGAAAACATCTTCCACAGTTGATTGCAATTCATCAATTTAAGCTTTTATTTAGCCAAAAATTACACACATCGACAATCTTTGCGACTGTCAAAATTTTCTATGCATTTGTCAAAAATTTCACTAGCCTCTTGAGCTACTAAAATTTTATTCACCTCATAGTTGTCAAAAATTTACTGGCCGCGAACTTTGTTACCGATTCACACACGCTCTAAGTGGCAGTTCACTCCGTTCCGTTACTTCCATTATAATCCAGGCATAAGCGTTCAGCACAAAACTTATGCAAATACGGACGCTTTAAATATTGAAAATGTAGCATTCGTACGCGATCCATCAATCCATCAATATGGATCGCGATCCAAATAGGGCAATCGCACGAGGCGATTTTAAAGACAACAAAAGTTGAATGCGAAGATGAAAGTGAAAAAGTTGCAATCCCTATTCAGACGAGGCGATTTTCGATCCAACACGAATTGTTATTTTGCAAATTTTATCAATTGGCGTAAAGTTGGTAAGCCAAGCGTTGGAAGAAATGCTTTTAGCGAAGCCGAAAGATAAAATAAAAGTAAAAAAGTAAAAAAGAAAAAAGTATGTGTACAGAATGTAAACAAACACAGGGTTGCAAGGAAAACAAGTTGAACGAGCTCAAAGTTGGCTGGCGACCAACTTTGTTGAAAGCGATTAGTTGAAAGGCCGTTCGGACGAGGCGATTTTTGCTTTCCACTAAAAGTTGCCTGAAAAAGCACCTCGTGCGAAAGCCCTAAAATATCGTGATGACAGCGCCCAATATAGCTTTAAAACTGTCGATGGTACTCTCGATACCAGCGAATGGTTATATTTTTTTTAATTATTGAGTTTGTATTACGGGTCTTCATCTAACGTGATAAAGCGATAAATTGCTTAAATTTATCAGTTTAATCACCCTCTTTCATGAACGCATCTTGGTAAATAATTGCATAAAACTGTTTATTATTTAACTTATATGGCTAGTTACGTTTCATTCTTACCTCGTACGTTATGTTCATTTGCTTTTATGAGTTCGTAGTTACCTGGCAACCAGGAAGGGTTGAATTTTGTTGAAATTTATACATTTATCCACCAAAATCGTTTGATAAAGTGATACACTTTGGTTAAATAGATTTCCATACAAAGTTTGACAGTTCATTTATCAAAATGATAAATTTATCACTTTACCACTTATGATGAAGACCCCTATTATATGTACTACTTAGTATGCACTT